AAAAAAAAAAAAAAAAAGTTATAAAGGTAAGAAATCGGAATCTTTTTTTTTTTTTTGGATTCAAACTGCTAAATCTTGAACAAAAGATTCTTTTCCTTCTTGATTTTTTTTCAAGCCACACAAAAAAAAAAAACCGAAAGCTGCGGTCGATACATAAAATAAATATATATATAGCTCTATTAAGCCAATAAAGATTATAAGGACTTATTACGAACCCAACTTTTTTTTTTTTTTAAACGACGATATTTTTTATCAACGATTCCATCGATTCTATTTTCGTCCTTGATATAACGTTCTAATCTCTCCTTCTACATTAAAATGAATAATTTCAAGATGTCATATTATTGTTTCGAAACGACAAAAAACCATCGGCTTGTGAATCCTTACACTCCATATGGTCAACCGTCATATCATCACCCTTCAAAAACCGAAATAGTCGAGCAGATTATTTCTGAAACGATTGATGAAGCGACACAACTCAAAATAAAAAAATACACGACTTTACCTTTACCAGAATTAATCACACCAAGCGTCAATGTAAGAACGGTTAAGAATCCAAGACCGCAAAATTCTTTTGTAATCTATAGAAGAAACGTACAAGCCGAAATCGCAAAGGAGAAAGGCACCAATGCCGCTGGCAGATTAGACTTTGTCTCAAAGTTCGCCGCAAAGAAGTGGAAGCAAGAGTCGCAAGAAGTAAAAGAATTGTATGGGTTTTTGGCCGTTTGCGCCAAAAAGGTTCACGATTACATGTATCCCGGTTACGTCTATCAACCAAAGAGACAAGCAACGACAAATGAGCCCATGATAATGGTGCATGAACCTGGCATAGGAGGTTATAAGCTCAGACCTACCATGCAAACCATTCAAACCATTCCAACCCCACCACAAACCCCCACCCCCTTGTCGTCTCCACCCGCAAGAAGAGCCATAAGATATGATTCAAGTCCGACCAATAATTCTTCGATGGTGACATCACCACATCACACTACCCAACTACCTCCATTATATCATTCCCCACCGATGACGAACGCTCCTCATCCATTACCCTCGTTGACATCATCGTCATCGTTCGGCAATGATCGTCGTCTCGTGCGACAATCGCAAAGATTTCTACCTCCCCCAACTCTTGACATAAGTGACAATGCCATATCAACAAATTTCATGGCAAATTACGACAGGAGCTTGTGCAAGGAATTCGATCTGTATGGTCGATTGTAAAATATTTATAATGAGAGACTAGTGCGAATGAATCATCGACGGTTAGATTTCATTTTGTAAAATTGAAAATTTCTTTTTCCATGTTTTAATATTTTCTTTCTTTTTTCGCGTTAAATATATATAATTTCCTCTTTATTTTTTTTTTTTCTCTACGACTCTTCATTTTCTTGCATTTATTTTACGAGAACTTTTTGTAAAGGATTTATGAACGTAATTGCTCCTTTTTATGTGATGTGTAAAAATCTGTTTGTGAATACAAATTAATATGTAATTTAAAAAAAAAAAAAAAGTTTTGTATTCACTCACAAAAAATCATCATCTTAAAAAGGATTTAATATTAATTTTTTAGTATATTTTTATTTTCGTTTAATATTTTTCTTTTATTGCATGAAATTTTCATATACATTTTTTTTTATCCCCTCATTAAAAAAAATCCCAAGTATTAAAACCCCACGCTTCTTTTTTGTAATTATCCTTTTTTCTTTTTTTTTACATATGTTCTTTTTTTTTTTCTCTTTACGAAAAATCTTTTTTTTTTTTTTTTAAAAAAAAAAGAAACCATATAATCAACCATATAAGAAACAAAGCATATAAAAAATTAAATAATAATTTTTTCGTTGCATCATACGTCGAGGAACACGTTCTTACATTTCATCTTTTTTTCCAATGTAATGAAAACTTGAAATGTTTGATTTTCAGTAAACAATTGTAAAATCGTTCGTGAAATTATATCGATATAGCGAAAATCATAGCATAAAAAATCGATCGAACAGTAAGCAACCTATTCATGCGATGAATTATACAAACGCGCCTTTATCTTTAGAATTCGCATTCACATCCACATATTATTTTAATTTTATCATGTTTATAATATAGACTTCATTTTTACTTTATTTCCTTTATTTTATCTTTTTAAATATGCAGTATATAATATATATTTCTCTTTTTTTTTTTTTTTTTCATTTTAAATAAAAATATGTCATTTTAAGCTTTTGAAAAAAAAAAAATAAAATAAAATTTACATTTGGTAAAAATTCATTGAAAAATTCATTAAATGGACTGCTCACTGATAACGTTCACGTCCCCCCCGTAAAGGTTGGGTTTACCATTATTAATAAAAAAAATTTGTAAAACGTTACATCTAGAATCTGTTAAATTTAATGACATTGTCTTTGATCTATATCTCATACACGTTTACTTAAATAATTTCGTCCGATTTATCTGATAAAAAAAATCCCGACGATTTAGCTGAGTTAGAAATGAATATCGTTTATTGTATCTAGTTTTTTACACGTGTCACACAAAAGATACGCGTTTAAGATTAACATTTTTCCATTATTAATTGCAAATCCGACAAGTTTTTCAGAGGATGATAAAAATAGATAAAAAAAATACGAATGATGTATCAAACACTTTTTTGAAACTCCGAATAGCAACTTCCGATTGTAAAACTATTATTATCATGATAGTGTATCTGGTATTGTTCAAACTTGAATGCGTTGATTTAGCCGCAATTGTTTCCTTTTTGTTTTTACTCTTTCTTTTTTTTTTTTCTATTTTGTTCCTTCCATTCTTTTTGACTGCTCAATGAGTTCAATGAATTGCCGTTTTTCCAAAAAATAATAATTTCAAAATGAGGACCCGAATTTGTTATTTATGTATAAATTAAAAATAGTAATTCCCCAAGTTAGGTCATCATCGAACTGAATTGAGAAGTTGATCTACAATTAATGCAAAATCATTGAAAACCGGCGGATAGTAAGCGTATATATTGCGCATTGATCCGAATTATCCGAAATACAATAAAATCATAATAAAATGAGCTTCCTAATTCATGCAGTCATTCTATAACAGGTTCAGGTACTTTCTGAAACAGAAAAAAAAAAAACACGAAATCCAATTATCGTCGCTTAATTTATGCAAGATGAATGATCAAATCAAAATAAAATAAATAAATAAAAATAAAAAAAAAAAAGTAAAAATAAACTCGCAATAAACGACAAGTACTCGTAGGTTACAATCGTAATCCAAAAAAAAAACCTGAAACAGCGATAACGAAATAAAATTTGATTAATAATTGACATTCTCTCTACGAATTAGAATGCCTTGCGGAAAAAAAAGAGAAAAAAAAAAATTTTTTTTTTCTTTGTTTACTTTTTGTTTATGCCTGATTGTTTTTTTATTATTAATTTTAGTGCGAATAATGATCAATAAAAATTTATAATTGATCGAATGATAATTTTTTTAAAAAAAAAAAAATTTTTTTCCGTTATCATTTAGGCGGAATTAACTTACCAATGAAAAAGTAGCGAATTAAATTTTTCACAAATTAAAATACCTATCAGTGAACAAATATAATAATAGAGTTTTGGCCTGGGTGTTTCTTATCAATAATTCTAAAATGTAATTTATAATTTCCATCTATATCCATAAAACAAATAAAATCTAAATGATTATGATAATGATAGCATTACAATGATTAAATATTATCAGAAATAACTTGTCAATGTCAATATTCGTGCAACCTCTTAATTCCTCGTGGTTCATTAAAAAGAATTGAACTGAAACAATGCATGTACAAATACTTATGATATGTTACAACATTTCATCCTGTTAACTCATAAAGTCTTTCGTTCGGTGCAAATATGTAGGACATGATAATCTAAATGGTTTTTCAAATACATTCACGTATTAAAAGATGAATGTGTCAAACAAACATTTTAATTATTCTAATCATAAAAATTAAAAATTCTACGAGGATCAACAATAATAACTGTGAATAAAAAAAAAACATAAACAAAAAATAAGTTCCGCTGCTGTGAATTACTTTATCAAAGACAAAGCATGCTTCTAATAATCTTTGCATGATCTCATGCGTTACGTACGTGTGCTTCTTCTTATTACCACAAATATTTGATCACCGAACGTCCCGTTTTTGAATATTTATGAAGCAAACAATGGTCATGTATACCAAATATTCAGTTACGGAAATTAGAATCACCGATTTCATTGCGGCCCAAACTTTCGTTTAACTTGTGCAAAATCTATAGCGCTGTATTGTCCTGCATTAACCCACATCACAAATATTTTATATATATGCACTATGCGGACTTTGTGGTTATATAATTAATTCAATCATTGCTAATAAATTGCGGTCTAGGCTCTTTGATTTTTGAATTAACTTAAATCGAATAAATATTGTTACGACATAATTTGTGACTCATAACTTTATGTATAAACGTTAATGCAAGCTCTATGTCAGTCGTCAAAACAAATTAGTCAAAGAATCAAAGCGAAATGCATAACATTCGCAATAGGTGATTAATAAATTATTATCTAATAGGCTTATTGAAATATATAACGCAAAAGAGAAAAAATAACATCGAACATATAAACATTTCATGTAATTATTCTTTGAATAAAAGGAAATTTTTCGTCCAACTCAATTATCTATCTGTAAATGATAAATTTATTCTTAAAAAATTATTATTTATTTAAAAAAATTAAAAATATTAATAAAATAATTCTTTTTTTTTTTTTTTTTTAAAAAAAAAAAATTAATATGCAAAAAGCTAATAGACTAATGAAGTAACGCGTTACCACGTGGTACCGCAGTTGATGCGATTATCAAAAAAAAAAAAATTGCGTCTAAATTTCAACGTAAATTTTAAATCCAAATTTGGCCAGTTAAATATTTATTAAAGCTAATTAATTTGAACAGATATAATACATTTCGTCTATAACCTTTTTTTTTTTTGATAACAATTTTGCCGCACCAATTATTTAAAAATTATATCTTTTAATTCAATCAAATTTTTCACTTTGTCTTCTGAAAAGTATTTATCATTAAATGCTTTGGGGATAGCTAGTTGTAAATTATATGTTGGTAAGAAGTCGGGCATATGTGATAAACGAATGGTATCATCTCTCTTGAATTTTGTAAATCGGACATAATCGATTAACTGTAAAGGTTATTAGGTTAATAATTTGATAAAAAGTAATAATTCTAGGGATATATACTTACAATTTCATTTCTTTCAAATGAAGGTTGAAAATTATCTAAAGTGTCATTAATTTCATACGATGGTTGAAAAT